CCGTGTTATTTTTGCCCGAAGCTGTCAACCCGGGAATCCGTGCGCTAACAAGGTGCCGCATCGGTTCTCCATCCGAGTCCGTTTTTCTCAATGGCCCTTTGGGAAGTACGGCGGGTGTTCTCCGCGAGAGAGTATCTAACGAGGAGTCAGCTTTTTGCGTATTAAAATATCGACTAATTGCCCCAGGATTCTGCCGTCGTTTTTTTGTTCATCCCCGCCGCCGCCCGGGACGTGATCCGCCACTCGGAACATTTTCGAAATCTCCGATCGAGACATCGTTTCTCTCGAAATAAATTTTCTCGCGCTTTGCACGAGAGAATAACTTGTTACCTACTTTATCACGCGATATATATTACTTAACAAACGTTAATGTACACTTTTATTAAATTTTTTTCTCCGGGTCCATAATAATAAATCCATAATAAATAAATCTCCGTAATAAATATTACGTAAATACGTTATACATATTATAGAGAGTGAAAGAAATGATTAAGCTGTTCTTCGGCCGCGCTATAAATTCGAGAACTAAACGGATGATCGGATTATAATCTCGATTGTAATCAGTGTATACACACGCGTCTCGATTTCTTTTGGCGTCGATCTCGGTAAGAAATCGAAAAAGAGAGGAGAAGCTTCCTCCTTCGCTTCTTCATCTATATTCATAAGAAACGAGTCCCGTTGGGAGCAATTAATAGTAGTAGCATTCTTCGCGGCGGAGAGACGGGTCTCTCTCTGGAAATAATTACGATCTTTTCGTTTTTCATCGCGCCCGCGTCCGGCGGGACCATGAACATCGTTAATCGGCTGCTCAGCTACCGTCGTCGTCGTCGTCTCTCCGACAAAATCGGACGAATAAACGAGCGTTTAAGCCGACAATTCATAATGCGGTGTCATTTCATCCTATTTACAAACCGGTCGCGCCACCGGACTGTCGAGGTAGAAAGATATTAAAGTGATTTCCGTCCGTCCCGCCCTCGCGCTCCTCGCCACGGCTTCGCGTCGTCGGCGCTAATTGCTCCTGGAATACCAAGAGCCGGTGGAACACTTACTTAAACTAGAAATTCCGCGCGGGGACAATCGTCCCGCGTGTAAAACGCTTTCGCGCGCCCGGTAAAACTGCGCGGCGCGATTAAATGTCCCCGATACAGTTATTATCTCTCTTTATAGCGATGCGCGTCTCTCCAGGGAGAAAAAGAGAGAAAGAGAGAGAGAGAGAGAGATTATTAAACTCTTAAATTCATGTGACACAGCGCACAATTCTACCAACAAACACGTGAAACCTCTCGTAACGCTTGTAAATTATGATAAATTGCGTCAGGTTTAAAATTGTGTAATAACAATTTGTCCGAACGGACTCCTTTGTATTGTTTATGTTGTGTTATTTACATTTGGTTCATCTTTGTTTATTTTTTAAATTTAATAGATTTGCGTCCGCAATGAAAACTTGTCGAATTTTCGAAATTCTTTTCATTTGTTCTCTTTCTCTCGGTCTTTCAAAATCTTGCAGATGTTTGTTACACGTACGATCGAAAAGTTAAATTTACCGAGAAGATGTAAACTGAAATTGCACTCATGAATTTTACTGACGACGATTCCGCCTCTTCGCTTTCCTGTTTCGTTCTATCGCTTAATACGTGTAAGAACGGCCATCAAGCTTGTTCCTAATTAGGGAGTTCGGTTCCTCGGTACTTTTGAAGAGTCCGCCGCGAGGCGCGTTCGCATCGGCCGCGACTTTCTTGCGTACGCGGCGAGGATAAACTTTCTCGCCGTAAGCGCGCCGACCGATGCCGCCTCTCGATCGGCTTCGTAAATTTCCTACAAAGTCCTGCAAACGAGATTTCGTCTCGATTCATCTCGCCGGCAATTACGTAGGTAACGGCACATGATCCGCGCGCGGGTTCTCGCTTCAACCGATGCGCCCGATTTATGGCGTTTCGAAGCGACGGACGACGCGCGATTATTTTACTCTACGATTTTATCGCTACGAGGTACATCTCGGGAACAGACCCGGACACAATCCGTAAAAGTACACACGTGTGTGTGTGTGTACGTATCACATTTGCTCCTAGAGATGTGAAATCAAAATAATTTGTAAGATATCACGAATATGGGAGAAACACGGGAATTCAATACCGTTATAACTACGAGTTTAAACTTCTCGACAAGAAAGTGACGAAAAGGGAAACGAATAAAGCTTGAATAATTAAGAGTGCGCTATCGCGAAGATCTACACTTCATTTGGAGAGAGTGACAAGAAGATATAAATATAAATATAAATTATATCGTAAATTATCTCTTCTTCTTCTTCTTTTTCTCTTTCTCTTTCTAACATATATATTATACTCCACTTTACGATCAGAGCACGAAGGAAATAATTTGCCCCGTTCTTGGGATACAATCCCCGCTTCTGAATCGCTCTGGTCTTCGGCAAAAGACACGAATTCGAGTTGAAACAGTGGCAAACTTCTAATTAGAGAAGATGAGGTCCCTTCTCCCGATAAATAATACTACCGAGGTACCCTTCTCTCTCTCTCTCTCTCTCCTGATCGTGCGACTGACTTTTCGTGGCGCGTCTTGCCCTTGTATAAATTAGTTCCAGCTGCCACATAATGGCGTGTCGATGCGCTACTGTCTCCTGCATAAGCTACCTCTTTCTCTCTTTCCTTCTTCGCGTTCTATTACTCTCTTTCGAATTTTAATTTACCTTTTCTTTCGTCCACGAGCTTTCTTCTCCTCTTGTCTTCCCCTCTCTCTCTCTCTCTCTCTCTTCGTCCAATTTTCACTAGACACGTATCTAAGCTGTTTCTCTCTTGACTCTTCAGTCGGCACCATTCCGCTTTCTTCTTCGCCCGCCTCTCTCGTCAAACCGGACTGTTTATAATTTACGACCAATTAATTCGGATTAATTCGGAACTCAACAAGAGTGGATTCCTGCTTTTCGATGCACGCGTGAATATTTGTCCCTTTCCCTTTTATTCGCTCTTAAATCTTTCTGACTTATCTTATGTATTTACCGCTGTAAACACGTTCCCGCTCTTACGAGCTCTTTGATAATAATCGATCTCTCTACTCTTCGTCGCGTCTGCGAAATGATCAAAGCAAAAAACCTGGCAAAGTCCACGTTGCGATTAAAATTTGTGTAAAAAATATTTTCTTCGTAATTAATTCTCAATAAAAAAAAAAAAAATTCATATTACAAAGTTACGTTACATTGTGTATAGTCGACGAACGGGAGAAAAACAAAATTCAGGTCTATTGTTCCACGTAATTAAGACACAGACCGTTGTTCCTCGCGGCTTGCGTTTTATATGGATCACGCCGCTGGCGGCGTGGCCGATGCTCGCGACGAGAAGGGGGGTTACGAGAGAACAGAACCCGGCGAGGTGCGTGGCGAGGTCCGGTGTCGTCGACAGGAGGACCCTGCTTGGTATTCCGCTTCGGTTCGAGGGCATAATTGGACGCCAACCTGGCGACGCTCCTCCGCGTATCGCGAAGACAAGAAATTATTCTTTAATTAATTGTCAGCGCTCTCAATGTGGCCGTATGCGTAGAATCGGACGGCGCGCGGTACATAAATTTCATCTATATGGGAACGCGCCGATCGAGGTCGCGCCGTTGAGAGAAGCGGAGGCGGATATTGCCGAGAGAGAGACTTTGGGAGAGAACACACTTACGGGGAGGGAGGAGAGAAGAACAAGGAGGGGAACACAGCTTCCGATCTACACGGGTTAGCGAATATCTGGCGCCTCTGTTTTGTAAAGCCTTTAACGGTGAATCGCTCTTAAAGGATCTTCCGTCGTCTTCTCGCGACGATTGGTTCCCGAACAAACGCGCACGTTTGTCCAATATCTCTCTCCCCCGCGATTTCAAACGGCACTGTAAATCGACGACACGTATTTTCGATTAATTTTCTCGATATTTCAACGGAAGAAGTTTCGGAACGTGTTTGAAAATCCGCGAATTAGTTGGAGCGTCTAGATTTCACGCCAAGTCTAAAGTACTAAAACACGTTTCTTTCGTGTATTGTTTGTTCAATCCCGAAATATCAGCAAATGACACGACAATTATTCGAACGCAGCGTTTGTTTCTCTCTTGGAAAGGAAAAAACGTGCTGCAGGCGCCTATGGCCACACATCGTAAAGTAAGACAGGTGCACACCAGCGAAAACTTACACACACACACACACACACAAATATAATAACGACAAACTTGCGTGGTGAAAATGTGTACACGTATCTGTGTGCATTCTCTATATATATATATAGCTATATATATATATATATTTTTTATAATTAGCCGCGAGAGAGAGCCCTTTCTTCGATAAATCAGCGTGCCGCCCAGGCTTAAGACTTAATTAAAAATTTAGTCAAAAACCAATTAGCATCCACGGCGGATTAACATATTTCTAATTATCTGGCGGACACTTTTGGCCGTCTTATATCGGCGGATTGACTACTTGCCTTATATGAAGCCGACTTGTCGATGACTGTGCGATAGATTCGATCGGGCCGGGCAAACCCCCACGTGCTTTTCTTTTTCCTCTTGCTTCAATATATATATATGTATATATGATGCCTTATTCAAGAAAGAAGTTACGCTCGATCAATTTGATCATGTGTTATTTGCAGCTTTATTAATCACGACGTCGCGAAAAGTTCGTTCACGGATTCTTTTCTTTTTTTTGTTTTGTTTTATTTGCACGTGCGTTAATTCTTGAAATTTCTCCGGAAAATTTCACTCTCGTTTATTTCTTTTGTACAACAGAGAGAATACTCTATAAGAAAAAATAAAGTAATAATTTAATTACCTAATGGAGAGTACTCTTGAAAAATAGGAAGAATGAAAAGAGATGGCACACAATTTTATTTCGAAATATAATTTATGAATATCGTGGAGAAAAAAAGTTGTTGCTTTTTGTTCGAAATACATGTTAATTGTGCTCACACATATATTCACACACACACACACACACACATAAGGGTTGAAGAATCGACGGAACGTAAATACTGAAATCACTTTTATTTTTTCGCTATTATATATTTATATAATATATACTTCCATGGATAAATTATCATCTTACATTTATACAAGGCGCATGGAGGTACGTCTAAGAAACCTCGCATCACATTCGTAACGTTAGTTTTTACTGTCGATGAACGATTCCGTCTCTCTCTCTCTCTCTCTCTCTCGATTTGCAATCGATACATGATAATACAAGGATTTACAAGCACATTGTCTCTCCGGTTTTCGTTATGTGCATAGAAAATAATGTAACGAGTTTGAGAGATCAAAGATCAAGAAAATGAAAAATTGTAAATTTTCTCAACAGAAGAACAATAATTAGCTGTTTAGTAAAAAAAAAAAATCATCATACCTGTACTCGGTTTTAACTTTGATTTTTTTTTTTGTCACAGATCTTAGACTCGGAATTGTTCAAACGTACCTCGCACATATATTCACGCAGCTGCTCTTTCTTTATCTCGGTCCTTTTATTTAAAAACGAAAACTCGGGAACGAATGCCCCTGCTGGAGGCGTTCAGCGCGGTCCAAAATTGTTTTTAAACTAACCTTTCTCTCGAACGCGCTCTCGCTGTTGCTTCGCAAATTCCTCTTCTTCGAGGGCATTCGATTCGAAGCGTCCTGTACACGTGTGTATATATACATACGTACACCCACAGTTACCGTACGAACGCATATCTATTTACACTATGTACACTCATGTGCTTTCTCTTGAGATCAAAGCTTGGAGCGCCTTTCCCGGGCGGTGCCGATAGACAATACAATTTTGTTTCATCGCTCAGAGAGAAAATTACAACATTTGTTTCTTTTTTTTTTTTTTTTTTTATGAGGTTTACAGGTCTCCGGAACGATATTTATCTTCGAGCCTTCGAACTTTCGATTATCTCGTATAATCTCTGAAGAGATAAGACGTTCACCTTCGGTTGCGATTCCTCCGAATTTCCGGTTTAAACGAAATCTGTAATCTTTGGAACTTTCTGTTTTCTTGTGAAACAAACTCACGGGCGGGGGGGAGGAGGAGGGGATCATCTTGCGTCATCGAGAGTTCATAGTCATAAGAACAGATTGTCGGATTGATCGTTCGAAGACGATATCAGAGAACGACTTGTCGAAATTCACACGCGTGTTGGTTATTAAGGTCGGTGTCCAGGCGGTCCCATAAACATGGCCGCCGCCGCCGCGGCATGGGTGTGCCTGGCCATGGCAGCGGCGATGAAGGGAGGCACCCCCGGGGTACCGGGCGGACCAACCCCGGAAAACATCAGCCCCGAGCCGAAACTCGGGTGCAAAAGTGGTCTCGCGGATAGTCTTAGCTTCTCTATTTCCGCCTCCTGCAGTCGCTTCGCCTTGGCTCTACGGTTCTGAAACCAGATCTTCACCTGAAACACACAACGGATGCGAAGAATGTGGTTAAGAACAATAACGCCAAATTTGCCACAACACGGCAAATGGACGGATAAAAATTTCACTCGCGAACAAATATTTCCTATTACGTTTCCTCGAGTGTCATTAAAAAAATCTCGGCGCGAAAAGAACATGAAAATTCATTGATTGCTCTGTGCCGCGCGATATATCGCGTTTAGGTGCGAACATTACGTAAGTATTACGCCGTTATTAGTCGAAGTCGTGTTTGACATCGGCGCACGGGGATTTACTATCGGCAAACAGCACGCGCTGCCGCGCTCGCACCTGTAAACGCAATTAATAAAACTACACAATAATCGAAGTAATTAACGCGCATCGCTGAACGATCGAGAATATAGCTGGCGCGTTGTTGTAGACGAGGCAAACAGAGGCTTTTGCGCAAAACGTGTGCAAACATTTAGCGCATTATTTAATCAAAACGGTCAAACAAGAAGCGTCAGTTTTTCTAGCGAGAAATTATCGACGCGTTGAGAAGTCCTCCGATCGTCAGCGAATCGATGGCGACGATAATACGGTCGAGTTTGTATGTACTGAGTCGCGCGTATAACGTGCGTAATATCGCGTTTAATTGTTATTTGCGCAGTCGTTTACGAATTCCGCGGCGTTTGCGCAGCTGTCGCATTGAATCGACAGCTAATTTGCGGCGGCTCGGCACGAGAGAGAACGCCGGTCACACGAAGACTCGGCGACGTCTCTCTGATGTCTTACGAAATCAGGTTTCGCATCAATGTCGCTATTAACGATCGCTCGTATTTCAATACACATGCGTGAATACATCGATATGTGATAATTATTTTTACACTCAAATGTAGTTTTTTTTTTTTTTAGAGAGAAACACACATTGTGAGAAACATTGTCTCGCAACGTCGTGGAAAATATTCCGGACTCAATAACGCGACGTCTCTGTGACGAATCGCAATAACAACTCAATTAGGCCAATCTTTCGCGCAATCACAATTAGTCTCACACGAAGTGTCACAAATTAAGAAGTTTGTTCGAGTTAAATTTGTTGTATAAAAAAAAAAAAAAAAAAAAACAAAAAACCAGATGCAATACATTAATTATTTCTCATTAATCACATATACAAATTAAAATCAATTCAAGAGAGAAAATTAATTGGGCGAAGAGAAAAATACTGCTCCGCGAAAAGAAAAAGATACCGATCGTCTGTTCTCGTAACCTGTTTGTAAAAAAAGGTTTGTACAAAAAAAAAAAAAAGATCAGATACTTCGAAATAATAAGTTTGTTTCACAAGACCCATTGATGGATGTCGTCACGGCGCCCGGCGTATCGCGATTTGAATTGTATAGACGTACCTCTTTGTCCGAGGTGAATAATGAGAGGAGAGAAGAGAGCACGCGCGGAGAAACGGTTCGGTGTCGCTCGAGCGACACACACGAGGAGAAGAAGATGGCGAGGTAATCGGTGGCTTATCTAAGCAAATGAATGCGACGCGCGGCTTCATTTCGACTGATGCATTGTAACGAATGCGCAAAGTGTATCTTAGCACGCCAACCGTGCGATAACGGCACATAGGTCGTATTAGACGTATGCGGCGGGGAATGACGACAGAGCGAGACTCAAAGTATAAGAGAATCATCGTAGTATTATGTATTCGCACTTATCACTTTTTCTTTTTCAAAATATTTTTATTTAATATTTACTTTCGAGCGAAAAAATCATCTTGTTAATTATCGGTCGTTTTTTTTTTTTTTTTTTTTTCATAATACGCGTTTTAAAAATACTGCGCGCGAGATTGGATTTCTTAATTCCGATAAAGTTAATTGTGCGCCTGTATATATCGATCGGCCGATGTATGTCTCTCACCTGCGTTTCCGTGAGGTGAAGGGACGACGAGAACTCCGCTCTTTCGGCTATCGTCAGGTACTGTTTCTCGCGAAACTTTTTCTCGAGCGATAACAGCTGCTGCGTCGTGAACGGCGTTCTTGGTTTTCGATTCGGTTTGTGTTTTCTGAGAGTGCATCTGACCGGGCCTGGCCCAGGTCCCGGTAATCTTAAATCTCCTGAAATCATAAAGCGTTTATATTACACATACACGTAAACATTTAAATTAACACAGTTGCAAAATTGCGACATATAAATTGCAATTCCGCGTCTCATTTCGAGAGATATGGACGATGGTGCGTCTAGGATATAAATTCTCGAGCGCGTAGAAAATCACTCGACATTGCGCGATCTCTTCAGGTTTTTGCGTCTCTTCTTTCGCAGTGAATTAGATCTAAGTCGATATTTCCTGTTTGCGCGTAAACAAAAAAAAAAAAAAAATGACACACGGATTTAAATAACATTATTACGCGCTGCTAACCAACATTACTCGCCATATCTGCGTCGTTACAGTGAGTCGATAATAATTTCGACATCCGCGGGATATTTGTGTTCATATTATTTAAAAGCACCGGTCTTCGCCATCTTCACTCATCAGCGCGCTCATCGAGATGATAATTAACGTCGAACGCGAAACGTTAGTGGTTGAATTTACGAGAGTTCGACTACGGTAAAATGCGATTTCATAGGTTTCGCGTGATGAAGCGATTACTGACGAGAGGCAGGACGAGGGTGCAAATTAAATCATAAAAAATAAATCGCGCTCGAATGCTCAGCGCCTAATTATCGGGGCGCCTAATCGTCCTGGTCTCTCTTCGCCATCCGGTTGGTTATCGTTGACCATCGTTATTTCTTGACTGACTTCAGGTATGTGCAATTAGCTGATACCTGCGTTAAAAATCTTGCTATTTTTTTTTTTTTTTTCAAGGTAATTTCGTCGGTCATAATATTGATTTGCATTCTTTTTCGTATAAATTCACTCCGTTATAAAGTTTCTTTTTAGACAAATGAAATGAAATAAATAATCCGAGATAGAGAGAGAGAGAGCCAATGCGAATTGGGTGGGCTGTGGACACATTTATCAAAAAAAGAAAACTTTACGTCACCGAAACAAAACGTAGCTTTAAAATTTTCTTTTTAATTAAAAATAACTGTAAAAACTCACCGCGAATCAATGAAAAAACTATCAATATTAACTGTTAAAAAAAAAAACTGTAAAACTTCATTGCAAGTCAACAAAGAAACAATATACCTTGACGCATCAACGCACCTTGAAATATTAATGCCGCATATAATCAGCATTTCAAAACGGAAAACACATAACTCAAACACATACGCGGAATGATCGGAAGTAAACAACACACAATTGCGAGTTCGCACTTCAATTGCCAATTTTAATTTCGCATATAGCGCGACAGTGTGTATGTTTTGTGTAAAACTCGATTTCTGATATTATATTGCAAAAAATAGTGTATTTTTGAACGGAACAAGTAGTTTAATATGTTAGTGAGCACAATTACATCGGACAGAATGATTGATGTTCTTCATACGAGATTAAAGGAGCGTACAATAGACCAAACGAACTATTGACATCCGTTAAAAATGCCCCGCAGCGGTCCGCAACAACAATTCTCCTTTTAACGCGCTCACGCGTATTTCATATAATTAGACAGATTAGTTTCCTATAAAGCATCTTGCGCCACATTCACGCTCAACGCTCAACGTGAGTCCCATCAACAGAGAGTAATTGATATCTTATAAAAGCATCGGGGCCCAGATGCGAAGTTACATCGCTCTTACATTTTGTACGGCCCGTATATGTTGGCGTTGTGAAAAAGTGTTTTCGACATCGAGCTCTCTCGACGACGAAAACGATGACGATTTCGCGACGAAAGAACAGGAGAGGGGAGAGACGCGCGTGGATTCCGAGCGCTAATTAACGATCGACCGGCTACTCTACAAAAAAGGCAGCCGCGGGCCGCCGTCCCGGCATTGTCGACATCGACATCAGTCGAGACACCGGTATTACTAACGTCTTCCATTCTCAGTTGCGCTGCTCGTTCCTCCCGTTTTCGTGCGTGTCGCGAAACTGGCGGCGGGTTCGCGCACATAACCGATCAATATGTTCTCCCAGGCAGGAGCTAATTAATTTCTGCTAATTAGATACTTATTCGGACGGGGATCGAAGGTAGCGGGTACCTACCCACACCGCTTTCTTTCTCGCGTTTAAGGACATATCGTATGTGGGTCGTGACAGAGCACACCATGTGTGTGTGTGCGCGCGCGCGCAGGCGCGATCTTTTATAATAAATATGTTGTACTAATTATCGTGTTTTATTGCCTTCTGGCGACGTTTTATTTTCATATCGGATGTAACGGTGCTTTTAAAATCATAACTATCGCGGCTGAGCTACTGAATTATTAATGCGCGACTAACACTCGAGTTAGGTGACATTTATCTCTCTCTGTGGGTTTAGAGAGAAAAAAAGAAGACTTCGTATAAGTTCGTTAACATTAATCATTTTGATGACATAACGATCCAGAGACGTAATATATTAAGTGTTACAAATATCACACGCGATATGATCATATACCGAACTAAGTTGATGTATTTTTTTGTACAAATTTTATATAATTTTACATAGAACACTTTTTTTAACAAATATTTGTACAACACTTTTGTTTAGCTCTTTAAATCGCTCACGGTTGTTAAACAAAAAATTAAATTCGCGAAGATGTTGAAAATTTCGATGTGATTTCGACGTGAAAGCTAGTGTTCCGCTCGTTATGCAATTGTGTGTAAAGTATTGATTGTATAAATTAGGACAAAAATCAAACGGAAGACGCACGGGGGCGAATCCACGCTTAGAAAGACAATCTGTCGTTGACGTCGACGTAGCTTCCATTCACGCGGTAACATAGAGCGATTTCATGTCGCTCGCCGACGAAGCTAGCTATGCCGCACACGTAACCGATCAATATGTTCTTCTTGACTGCTAATTAATTTCTGTTAATTACCCGATCGCTGAAACACGCACGCGAACGACTACATTGCCGTAACGGACCGGCGGACGTTGATGACGGCTGTTATAGGCGCGATCTCTTTTCGCTCGGAGTTGTAAATTTTTCGGACAACCTTATACGATTGGCTTTGCATCGTTAAAATTGCAAATCAGTTTAATTGGAAATGAAAAAAATAAGATCAACGTGCGCGTCTATGGATTATGAAATTCTTCCACACACAAACTTTGCACAGTTAATTCTACATATCATTTGTTTAGCTGCATATTGATTTCTAAAAAAAAAAAAAAACAAACGTGCTGTAAAATTATATCTGATACTTTTCAATGTCAGTTTTTTCGTACTTCGCGCGACATGCGCGCGGTTACGCATTGCTTCGATGAACTCAACAATGTAAGATATTGCGGGGTTTCATCACATGCGAACATAATTATACAAAATTTCGCAGGTGATCGCACAGCAACGAGTTACATTTTATGAGCGAGGATGCTCAAGTTTGAAGAGAAAGAGAGAAAGGTTGAGGGGGAGGAGAAGCGCTAGAGCTTCCACAGAGATGAGAGTAACGGACGCGTCGCGTCGGACCGCTGCTGGAACGACCGAGGCGGGTAATTACGTCCATGGAATGATGAATCGTCCGAAATATTTTGTAGAACATCATTGGACGTTGGGCGGGCGTCATTAATTCATTCCTGCGCGCGCAATCCGCAGATAAATGCGAGCTGGCAGAGGCGTTCGAGCATTATAAATGTGTGCGCGCGTGTGACGTCCGTGTATATTCATAATTTTCGAAAGCCGCCGCCCAACGACAGGTCCCCCCCCCCCCCGGTATTATATCGGGTTGTGCGAGGCTGTATCACCCTCCTCGCGATAACTGTCAGCGGTGGAGGGTTGCCGGCTAATAAGCTTTTCACTGTCTAATTTTTCTCGCGCCGCACGTCGCGTTTTTTTTTTTTTTTTTTTATCGAATTTCTATGCGATAAACGTGACGTTTCGAAAATTCCAACAAAAGAGTCGAATGTCGTAAATATCAGAGTCCAGAACTCAAAGATAAAACTCAAAAAAAAAAAAAAATCTCTTCCCGAGTTTTATATTATCCATTCTTTCTGTATACACGAAAAACCTCTACAAATCGAAGTGAAATAGGAGATTAGCTTGAAGTATCTTCTCGAATATCTTCTCCGCCAGTTTCCTAATCTTACGTTTATATTTATATACCACATAAAAGAGAGATATGTATATATATCTCTTTTTTATACGTAGAGAGATATAAATTTTAGCCCCATAAAAAACTTAGATATGAAAAATACTAAAGTGATAAAATTAGAAATATGAAAAAGAAAAAAAAGAATACAAAAACAAAAATACGAATACGAAAATCATCGCGAGCACTCGCGAAAATTGAAGTTCGCAATTGATTTCTATATTTGAAAACGAGAACCCTAATCTCTAATGTAATTGTCAAAGTTTGAACGGATAAAAATCTGTGCAATTCAAATTACTGTTTCTTTCCTCGATATTTGAGAGGAGGTTTGATTTGTACAGCGGAGCGCGCGCGCTATGTCGGTCTACTCCCAACTTACGTTTCGAGCGGCGATAATTGGTGTCGCGCACACGCACCGCGATAGCGAAAAGAAAACGAGGAGAACAAATCGTAAGAAGAACAAGCAAAGGCGAAACCAACGAGAGAGGCGAACGGTTTGTCGTTATCGCTCGCAAAAAACCATTGTCGAGCGACATCGCACAGGAAGCTGAACGCGCAAGCTACACACCAAACCTAACAGGCCACCTTAACAAGAGCGGTTTTTATCCCGCTGCCTCTTGAATGCATTATGGATGTCGTGAGTTATGTATGACTCTATCATGTCGAACTGCTTCGCGGCCGGGCTGTGATCCGCTTTGCCCTCCCCTCTGTCAACTTTCCCCTCCCCTCGTTTTCTGTCGGCAGACAACATCTGGGAAAATGAGACCGCGGCAGTGTTTGTTGTGTTATAATATGCGTTTTTTTTTTTTTTTTTTTTATCGGCTTCGCAAGAGAGCACCGTATTTTTTTTTTTTTAATTTTCTTTTTACGCTCCCCTGATTGAGCGTACATTATATTTCAGATCCTCGTTTTGAGAGATTTGAATTTACGATTGGCGATGCAGATGCGTTGTATATACTCAATTACGGCATTTGGAAAGGATAAAATCCGCGTGTGCGCGTAAAGCGCGCGAACGTATAAGCTCTTTACCCGATCTCGTTATTACGAGTTGACGTCGCGGATCGCGTGTTCTCTGAAAATTTTTTTCCCCACTCTAATTATCATCCGAGCTCTGCTGTATATTGAGTGTTACTTTCAATTACGCCACCTTAAAAGATAAGACGGCGCGTAGCAAGGTAACTGCTCTTTATATAGGATTCGAATCATTCATATGTTTTTATGCTCGCGTGTCTTCCTCAATATAATTTTCCTTTTTCTGATTTCGCTATCTCACGTGTACGCATTGCGCGTTTACATTAACTTGTAAATTCAATTATATCGCGCACGCACTTTTTGGGGATTATTAAATTAAAGCGCCACTTTGCGTGATTTAATGTTTGCATAAATTTTTCGAAGACTCAAACGTAAGGGATTTCTTTTCACGGTTCTTTAAGAACGGGCGTATTTCGGATCTTGTTTGTCGGTTCTTCTATGCGTGGAAACAACGGCTGTCGGAAACGGTTTGTCGACGTAGTACTGGTGGCAGGTGATTCAACCGTATAGATTTTTAAACGCGTTAGGGTCCTACCGATTAGTTGATAAAAGGCGAGAATAAAGTTCGTGACGAGACCGGAGATAACAAGCAGTACTCTCACACTGTGCATGTGTGCGTGCGTGCATTCCGGACAGAATATATATGTTAATATATATATATATATATATATATATTAATATATATATATGATTATAATGAAAAATTTTTATCAGCAGACAAGTTGAGTTTATTTTTGTCTGTACGAGATTGTGCGTTTTAATAATGTCCTTTACATAAAGTTGAAAATAATTTTATATTTATTTTGAATAATTTTACATTAACTCTGCGCACGGAGAGCTGATTTGTGTTTTTATTACTTTCGTGACACTAGTAAAAAGACCGGACAGATATTATCCAACTGATTATTCAGATATAAGTTCACGTGAGAAATTACGTACATACATGTATAACGTAACTAGTTTTTGCGAGTTTATTCTCTTCGCATTCGTCCTCGTTAATAAAATATCGCGGTAATAAATAATGTCGCGCGAATCTCGAGAGATTCCCGCGACACGCGCGAAATTATACAACCGCGCGCGTAATGAGAGGATAAACTCGCGTGTGTGCTCCGCGCGCGTTTTCCGAGAAAGAAATCTCTAAAAACCATTACGAGAGAGAGACTCCTCCTGGCGAGCATAAAAGTTGACGCGCGCGAGTAGCTAAGCTAGCGCGCACGAGAAGAGCACTCTCGTCCTTTTTTAGTCGCGCGGTTACACTCGAGACGAAGTACACTCACTGAGAAGAGAGGCTATAACGACCAGCTCGTTGCGCCCGTTGAGGTGTCGGTTACACTCTAATGAGGTATTACTTTAATTGTCCATTAGAGATGGATTTCGGTGTTCACGAGTTCTTCGCCGCGACACGAGTCGCGTTGGCACTTGAAACATCTTTCTCTATTAAGGGGGAGGAATCTTCCACTCGCTTAGAGACAGATGGTAATACCTGTGACCATGTACGTGCAGCCGAGAGAAGGTAACACGAAGATCAGCCGATTTGTTATTGTCACAAATTTTGTTGTCACACTTTGTGCGATTAAGATAAAGAACGCGTTGCGCCAAGTTATATGAAACAAACGAATTGCTCCAAAACTTTTAAACAATTATTTGAAAATATCTGATTTTTGAATAAACAATTCAAACTTTTGTAGTTTTTATATTCAAACGCATCGGATCGAAACTGTGCGATGCGCGTGTATGTATTTTCTTAATAATCTAATAAGCGAACGAACTTTGTTCGCGAGAAATACCGATCGTTGAAAATACATAACGAGAACGGAAGAACGAGCGGATTTGCAAACGGCAATTAATAAATCTCAATACTAATTCTCTCGTTTAAGTCATCGTAAATTATTTATCAGCAAAGTGCTTCCAAGCGGCAGCGACGTCTAATTATCGCGACTTCGGACCGCTACGACTTTCCTTCTCGATTTATTAGCCAATTACAATCCATATATCCGCCACTGGTCATGGAACAAGATCTGTATCTGCGCGTCTGATCACTTTTGTACCTGTCCCGAAGAACTGCGCGAGCGCGCTCCGGCAGCAGCAGTTGCTTTCACGGTTTCTCCTTCCTCATTAGGCAATTACATCGAGTTTTATCTACGCGACTGATTTTTCGTTCGCGTCACACGCGCGATCACTACCGCGTCACACCAAAGGCGACGGAAAACACCGCTCGTCTGTCGCGATCGTGCGCGTTCCAATAGCCTAGATATATATACGGTGCGATCGAACTTCCCGCATCTCGTCGATCGTGTGTAGAACGTTACGTCGTTGTAAGCGGAGTCTCTCGCGTGACATTTGTGGAACAAAATCAGGAAAGTCAAGTGAAATCTTAATGGTCAAGTTGCAACCCCAGAGAGAAAGAGAGAGAGAGAGAGAAAGAGGAGAGAAGTCAACAACGACGATCGTGGACGCGAGTGGAGGGAAAATTGCGACTTCGCTGCGGCGGCTACATGCGTGTGCAAGTAAAGTAACCACTCGAACAAGTGAACGATGTTAACTCTCGTTAATTCTTGGAAAACGGCCGGTGTGTGTCCATGATAATTTTCTGTCCACAGATACTGTTGAATGGTATTTAAAAGTATTTGACAATATTGATATATACGGATAAAAATAGCACAGCAATATAATGAGAACGTGAGAGATTGCACGTACGCGAAGAGAATTTCGAGTGCTGGGAAAATAACACGATAGTCTTTGCAGAAGAGTTAATTTGTAACTAATATAAAAAAAAAAAAAAAAATTTAGAACGAGGGAATAACGATCCGATATTCCGTCGAGATAATTACCCTCCCGGGATATTTATTTCAAATTTAATCGCCTGTGAGCGAGAAAAGCAATATAATCGATTATTTATTTAAATTAATAGCGCGGAATGCAAAAAAAAAATCTTAGAGTTATGTAAATGAGAACAATCGCGGAGAACACACACCCACCCACACAAGATTGTCGGAATGTGACGGGTCATTTAATAAAATCAGCACTTTAATTAAATTCGCACACACATTCGTAAAATTCAGATTAAATTGATAGTGACAGCGTATGTTGAAGACGTATGAAGATTAAATATTTATTGCAACTTATTGCGATAAATATTTCTGTTTTTATACGCATGTATAAAAATCGTTCAAAATTGGTATATTCCATCATCGGTCCTATTATAAATTTTCTTTCTCTCGTCGCGGCCAAGGTAAGGTAAAAAAAAAAAAAAATATCTTGTCGATCATACGTGTGGTTGGCAGTTTTAAAGTCTCAGTTTTTGAGCTTTAATCGCGACGAAGGTAATCCTAGGAGTACGAGCGAATTCTTTGGCATGTAAGACCGATAACATCCGCCTGTTCGCGTGACCAACGGCACTAATAGAGAGCGTTATGAGTCTGCGTGCCGTGAATGTCATGCGAGTTGCATTTAGGAGCTTTTCATCTAATCACCGACATTGTAATTCGCAAAACGGAAAGAAAAAGCAAATGCACCAAACCGCAGCTTTTGTCTACGCACGAAGCTTTTCAGATTTTTTCGAACGTTTTTTGGATGCTGTTTGTTTTCCAGTGACGTGATTAAGAAAACAATACTAAAACTATATGTAAATGTTACAAATACACAATTAATTGACTAAAAAGATTGGGGATGTTTCCATCCATGGCAATGATCTTACCGTTCGGACTAGTGGGTCCGCCGTGCGGCGTGTAAAGATGCCCGTGAGGATTGTGCGGGTGCGGGGGTGGGGGTAGCCACGCGAACCCCGCCAGAGAATGCGGAAATCCCGCGGGGTTCCAGCCGGGAGCGCCGGGTGCACCGGCGAGATATGGCGGCCCTTGCGACGGCCTTTGCACTCCGGGGTGAATCGGTTGAGGCACTACCGGGCTGGACTTCTCCTCCTTCTCCTGGCCGGCGTCCAGATCCCTCTCCAGCTCGCAGTCCGAATCCATTACGTTTAAATCCTCGGACTGGCCGACGCTCCTGATCTCGTGGTCCTCGAGATCCAGATGATCCGTCGTCCGGTCACCTTCCAACGAGCGATTCGCCTCGGAGTCGCTGCGATCGTCGAGCATCTCCCGTCTACTTGCGGGCGACACAGATCTCGGATTGGTGATCCTGTCGATCCTCTCGTCCTCTTCCTGAATATGTTCCTGTTCTCGTTGAAGCATAGTTTCGCCGATACCGCTCGGCGAGTTGCTCGTCAATCGGTGATCGTCGCGGTCTCTCGGGATTTCTTGATCTATCCTGATGGGCGAGGACGATTTGTCGTGGCTCGTCCTAGAAAAATCCTTTACCGTGAGCATCTCCTGCCGAGATGCGGGCGGGTGATCCTGCTCGAGTCTGCTTGGGTTGTGATGGTGATGATGATTGCCAAAATTGGCGAGTCTGTGCGGACTCAGCCTGGCGAGCAATTCTCTGCTCTGAATCCTCTGTTGCTCTATCAACAGCTCCCGATATCTGGTCTCTATATCGAGACTTTTCTCGGCGTCCATTCTATCGTCGTTATCTCGTCTGGTCGTGAAGGTGCCGCCGCCACCGCCGCCGCCGATGCTGATGGCACTTTTCTTCGTGCCGCTCAGCAGGGAGTCGACGCTGAAGCTGATCTTGCCGCTTCGCGGCTTCAGGTTTGAAGACGCTGACGTCGGTGTGGCCATGTCAACGTCCTCGCACAGGCGATCGCTGCCGGAACCCGGTCCTGTCACCACGCCTTCGCCGTTACTCATCCCGATCCGAATGCGCCTTCCTCTATCGGGTCTTCTTATACGTCTCTTACAAATCTCCAAGATCCGCGATGTTATTACAGTCACTTGACAGTCACCCAAAAATGCAAATAAGAATGACGTTTGATTGCTGCTTCAGTTCCATGTTAAACCGCTCGCAACGTCCATTACACTGTTACGTCTAACGGGAACTTTGAAGGAATAGCGTCTTGCATCTTGACAAGCTGATGATGTTGCATTAATTTATCGCGGAGATGCCTATTAAATGAACGATCGATGCGGTCAACACAATCGATCAGTACGATCCACTTTGAGGCGACGATCAGTCACATTGCGATTTTCATCTGAACCTGAATCCCGGTACACACTAATACGAGACCCATCCAAGCCTCTACCGCCTGTTCAGCAAGCCCCGTGCTCCGTTATTCTTGGAATCCGCCGCATCGCCGCGGAATGACCCAGCAGACACGAGCGGATTCCCCCATTAAAGTCAGATGAGTGTTTTTAGGATATCAACATGATGATCCAACTCTTCCCTACCTCTTGACTTTTATACCTGTCGCATCCTGTGATCGAACGTTCGAGTCAAGTAATTTTTTTAGATTTTCTAATCTGTCCGCTCTCTCTTCACGATACTTTGTGGTCTCTTCTCGGATAATGTTTACCGAATCTGTACACGGACATTTGAACTGTGTCTCAAATTGATACGTGGATTACAGAATTTGGTATGGACAATATTTCTGTTTAATAAGAACAACAAGCAATCAGATCTGACGTTTGACAGCTCTTCCATGATATACGTCTAGCTACTGTATTAGCGTATTATACTCATTGTAATCTCGTTTCCTACAAGTTTCTCCTCGATTCTTTGTTTTCTCGTTTTAATCTCTTCATGATGTGATAATACATGCTATAATGTACATACTACAATGCTGCACTCCGATAACTTCATCACTAGATTACAAGTGTCAAATATCATATATATACGTGCGTCAACAAATGAGATCATTAGGGACAGATCTCGGTGATGATAAAAGACATATTCCCACACGATTAGGTAAGATAGAGTCTATCTGTCGCGCGACGGTCGTCGTTGCTGTCAAACCCGTATTTCCTTCACGCGCTCGATATGATACTCTGAACCGTCACTTGTGCACGTTGTCCGAGAGATGATGCGTCCACTTCTGGCTGTCTCTCAGTGCCGACTCCGGAATTTCTTCTACGTTCACACCGGACGATGAGACAAGAGCTTCGCGCGACGACGACGGTTCACCAGATGACGGTCAGTCTCGTAACTCCAAGCGCGACTCACGGTGGGGATAAGGCGGGAGAGAGCGCGCGGCTCTCGGTATCCCCGGAAAAAGAAACGACCGTCAAGCGGTGTAGGAGTACAAATGTAATCGGTTGTAATCTGTGTAATCTGCCCGCGTGGTGACCGCCACTGCCGCGGAAACGGCACTGATTACCAGCTCGGCTGCACTCGCGGCTGAGAGCCCTGGTTGGGGCACCTCGGTCTCCCTCTGTCTCGCTCGCGCCTGTTCTCTCACTCCTTCTCTCTCTTTCTCTCACTCTCTGTCTCTCCCATCGCTACCGGCGTCGCGGTGCCCACCGCCGGGTGCGCGCCGCCCCCGCGACGCTTGCGAAACCGGTACCGCAACCAGATCTCGACCAATACGCGCGAGCCGGTGCGCATCTCGGGCGTTTCGAGAGTGGGCGTTCTTCTTGGTAGGACGCGGGCCAATCCCGTGTATCCCTAGGTGAATTGACAACCGAAGGGGAGCCCCTTCTTCCGGCTTGTCGCGGGCCGCCAGATGGAGCTGGCAGTGCGTCATCTCGCACCTCGTGCGGCCGCGAAGTGGTGGGAAACGAGGATGGTCGATGGGACACGTTCGGTGTGATAGGCGATGGCGATGGTGGTGGTGGTGGGACGCGCGGCGGGAACCGAGCGGAACGTGACGATTCCTAATTGTCTAATTCCCGGGCGCGCAATGCGCGAATTGATTGGCAATACGGGTGCACGTGACTGTGTGCACGAACGCAGCATGCTGGGGACAGAGAGAGAGAGAGAGAGGACAGAACATCCCCGCACGCCCGGCTTCAGACGCGCGCGGCACGACGCGACTCCTCCGCTTTCCGCTTTCGTGATGGTTCATCAAGGATTTATGATGTACGACCCGCCCGTACGTCGATTATATTTAATTATTTGCGGTGGTACGCGTTATGGATGAGACACGTGATCGGAATCGTCCCGCGACACTTCGAATCCCGTCTGTGTGATCACTTCATTATAACCAGATAATAATTGGACAAAAAGTAAAAAGAAACCAAACGAGTGATACCGATAGTATTCGTTGATGAAAGGGAGGTGAAATATTGAAGCGTCAAAGCAAGCGAGCACCTATTTTGACACTTCGATTCAAAAACGCACATCGATGCGATGTGGGGAAACGTCTGAGAAAGCCAGTAGTAGTACGTACCACTTCTCGCGAGGGAAGAGATGTACACGCCAGTAGGCGGGAGGAAAGCACGGAAAGAGAGAATTGAGTTGTCAAGCACCACGGGTTTTTGTCGTGTTTGCCAGTTGTGAACGGGGGGCTGCGAAGACCTTGGCCAATTGTACGCGCGCGCAAATGTTTCTCTCTCTATTTTACGACGCCTTTATTTAAGCCCCATAGTGAGAAAACAAACATTTTGTTAAAAATCTATATAATAAAAAAGGGAGCAAGAACTCATTGAAGGAGCAAGGAGCTTTTGTAAATTGCGCGAGACAGACGCAAAAGATTTTGCTTGCGACGACAATTAAATAACCGCATCTACCGACGGCTAAAAGTTACATAATTATTAGCATTTCATTTGTGCGCAAATGAAATTAGTTTTTTTCTTTTTTTTATGTTTCTTTGAAAGATACTTCGTTAAATACATAATAGAATTATTTTAACGAAATATATTTTCTTCATAAAATTGCAATCTACTTTGAAGCGCGTAAAAAGAATAACATTTCGTTATTTCGATTTGTACTGAACAAAAATAGATGCAAGATAATTAGAAATATATAGGTACGTGTACAGATAATTATATTATTTATTTGATATAAAGAGAATATTTTTTCATAGACTTGACAAATTGTTTTCTAACTCAATAGTCAAACACGAGTTTGATTATTTTGGAACGCGTTTGTTTCGCAAGATGCGATAATAGCAAAAAAAAAAAAATCTAGAAACTATCTCTTTGTGCAAAACGCGCGCGAGAGAGACGTTAATCACGTTACATAAGCCTCACGTTCAACACTTTTTATTCTTATTATTGGCGTAATATGTTTAAAGCCGCACACAATCGTGGCACAATAGTATCACTGGCACGATAGATCGCACAGTGATACTTTATAGTTGGGATTACGCTAATCCGATAGACATCCGCGATGACAATAACGAGGAACAACCTCTTCGGATCCCAATGCGCGCGTCACGCAAAGTAAGTTGGAGCAGATCAAGGGAAATCATTCAGTCACGATCTTGAAAGTCTCAAGCCGATTAACCGAAAATCTTGTTACAACCGACCGCAAGCCTTTGCGTCCAAGGAGGAAAGAGTTTTTTGCCGTCGAGAGGATTGTGTCGCGCTTATGCGAGACTTTCGTAATTCCCGACGATTCTTCTCGCCGACGAGCGGACTTTATTAGCGCGCGACTTTATTTAAACGCGATGTAAAAATGAAATCGCGGAGTCAATTAAGACGAGCGAAGCCGCACTGACGCTAATTAGACGAAGGAGCGCTCGGGGACTGTTTAACTGCGGGACGAGCGAATTAAAAAAAATTCGATAAACCGGCAAACATCACGGGAATGAATGCGCGCTTAAGCGCATAATTTATCGCGCAATTATTTATAAATTCAGAAAATGGACAAATATAACGCACACATTCAGCAGCATTCGGATTCGGTCAATTGCCGCTTATTGCAAGAAGAAACTGTCTTGAATTTCGCACGTAACTGCTTAAATTGCACCAAATGTGAAAGAGACCCTAATTAGATAAGCTGTAATAAAGCGTTCGTCGCCGTTGATCTATTTCCTTCTCTCTTTCTTCGCAACCTTTTGTAAACTATAACCAGCACCGTGACGAGCAAAATGCGAACGTTTGCGAGCTTACACACACACACACACAAAACCTTCGAGAAAGGAAGGGATGTTCCGTGAACGTTCCCCGCGATTTGCACATTAACGGGGAATAAACGACACCGAAATACAAGCGCGGACGCGCGATCGCCATAATAGGAGCACCGAGTAGTCTATTAAGCGTCCTCAAAACCAGTTAGTGAGTCGGCAATCCAGTTTAGGTACAAAATGGCTGTCGTTTAGCGAGGATTAATGGTCTCGGGAGTGCCCCGGGGCAGCATAATGGGGCAGATGCGTTCTGGATGAGGGGGAACCAACCCTCTCTGATCTCTCTCCTCCCCGCCATTTATATCTCGACAACCTCCGCGCGCCACCCTGCCTCCTCCGTGCCTTACCCCACACCCCACTTCTGTGGCCTCGTTATGTACACCTATCTGACTACGAGCTCCATTATGCCCTTTTTGTGATGCTCCACGTACGCCCCGGTATAAATACGCGATATCTGTACACACCTACGTGTATACCGGCGCGAAATTACACAAAGTCGAAGCGAGGAAAGTCGTGTAATTCCGCGCAGAGTTTTTGAAAGTTTTTTCAGAGATTAAAAGATGAAAGTTAAGAGATATATAAGAGAGATTTTAAATTTTTAACATATCAATAAATAAATCCCATACACGTACGCGCACACTTTCTTTACAACCGCGATATAGCGAGAATAACTAATTTTTTTATATATCTTATGTTTGAATTGATTTAAAAAAATTACATTGCGTATAAATATATACACAATGAAACAAGTGATACGCGATACGATCATGATATTTATAAGCACGCTTCATTAAGAGCTCAATTAGAGCTCTGTGTAAAGTGTACCACGTTCTTTGCTCTCTGTATGAGCAACCACTCTGGACACTTTTCATTAGGTACACTCTTCATAATCTCGTTTGAGTTTGCTCGCAGCTTCTGAGGGACGGCACGACCCCGCGTTTATAAGCGTATATAAATGTGTGTGTGTGTGTTCAAGCGGGTGCCGCACGCACACGAAACCCGAGCGGAGATTCGAGTCTCATATTTGGGCGTCCAAAGCGCCGTTTAGTTTGGCGTTTCATGGTCGGATGACTCCCCTCGCCCGTCTACCGACGCCGTGTCGTTTCGGTGCTCCTGAGAGAACCGTAAGTAGTCGTTTTGAAATCGACTCCGGGGAGAGAAAGAGAAAGAAAGAAAGAAAGAGCGTGTGTGCGCAAGGTACGGAACGTAGTGAGAGAGTGAGGGTGCGTCGCGTGTGTAAATGTGATCCGGGAATCGAATCCTCGGCTTTTGTCGAGACCGCCCCGGCCGGGAACGGCGTTGACAGAGATTTAGAGAGTGCAGTTAATGTGGAATTAGCTGCCACGGAAGGAGGTGGCGACGCCGGCCGCGGTCGTATTATGCCATCACCTGCCGCGAGGAAAAGACGCTCGGGCTCCATTTTTCGCGGGCCTAATAAGGCGGCACTAATGCTCGCTCGCTGTCTCTCTCTCTCTCTCTCTCTCTTTTCGCTTTCGCGCTCTGCGCTTTAATACCGCTATTAATGTCGGAAATCGTCATGAAAGAAAATATTTGCGCTCCGCGACACGTGAAAGCGAATCCGCGATCTGACGCGGAAAAACAAATTCAGAAAGCGCGGGGGCAAGACTGCCGTCAGAATTCGACTTTGTACGTTTGTAGATACGTAAGAGCAGCAGAATTCTCCGCAGCTCAAGCTCCGCACTCAACTCAAGTTCTCTCTCTCTCTCTCTCGAAATAACGAACGTAATTGCGTTATAAATTTGTTGGCAATTAATTTAACAATATAACATATTTTACGTACGTAACGAGAAGATTCTTGAGAAACAAAATCGCACAAATGGGTCAGTTGTTTGAGAAAACAAATTCGAAATCTCTCCGGGGACTTCTGAAAGAGAGGTCAAGTTCCGTGAGTTTAGGAAAAGGTCCTCACACACAAATCGAGCTGGTGAAGCACCAATAGTTTATCTCGTCCTAATCCTGTTAGCGGGATGAATCGTCTCGACCTGTTTGATTATTTAAGGATTTTCTTAGGTCCGCACAAAACACACGACGCGAGAACTCTATATATTCTTCTTCCATCTGCTGAAAATGCGATCGTCAGTGTTTGCGGAAAGCGCGCTTTGTTGGTTTTCACGTTTCCATGTTTTCTTAGGGTTGACAGATTTTTATTCCTCATACGTTTTTGTTATTAATTCTCGTTCAGTCAATAACGGGTCACTTTTGATCTATTCTCGTACAATTTCAAAAATAGTAATACTTACGAGATATATGTATATGTGTTAAT